CAAAGTGTGGTCCAAACTCACAGGCCACAGGCAGGGCCTCAGAGAGCAAAGTCAGCCCCCAGCAAAGGGTCTTCCCAACAGCTTAGAAAAGAGACGAAATCTTTCAAAGGAAGACAGCCCAAAGCCAGAACCCGCAGCACCGGTCCACTGGTAAACACAGTCATGCTAAAAATCTCTGTGCCTAAGACACAGGTCCAGGCCAAAGTCACACGGCTAGCGGTGGGGGCATACGGGCAAACAGTCCCACAAGCCAAGGTCTAGCTTTTCTTACAGAGGAGAACACCCACACCCAACGTCACTCAGCTGTGTGGATCATGTCAAACTGTGGACAACGTTAAGAAGAATGGAAATTCCAGAACAGCTCATTGTGTTCATGCGGAATCTGTACACAGACCAAGAGTCATACTCTTGTTGAAGCCAATGCTATTGTTGTTGTTGTTAAGTGCCATCTAGTCCGTTCCGACCCATAGTGACCCTGTAGAGGGTTTCTGAAGAGTGGCTGGTGAGTCTGCACCACCAACCTTGCAGTTAGCAGTCCAGTGCTTATCCTGCAGCGCCACACCAGGGGTAATGCGCGGTCTAAAATTGCAGAAGGTGTGTGGCAGGGCTGTCCTCTCCCTTACCTAGTCAGCCTGCCTGCTGAGCAAATAACTCAAACAGCTGGACCACATGAAGAACATGCCATCAGGATTGGAGGAAGGCCCATTCACGACCTGTGATATGCAGATGACACAGCCCTGCTTACCCAAAGTCAAGACGACTTGAAGCACTTACCGGTGAAGGTAAACGAATACAAGCTTCAGTATGGATGATACCTCAACATAAAGAAAGAAACCCAAAATCCTCATGACTGGAACAATAAAGAAAACATCATGAAAGTGTAGAAAATATCGGAGTTGTCAAGGAGTTCATTTTACTTGGATCCACAACACTCGTGGAAGCAGCAGTTAGTAAATCAAAAGCCACACTTCATTAGGCAAATCTGCTGCAAAAGACCCCTTTAAAATTAAAGAGCAAAGATGTCACTTTGAGGACTAAGATGTGGCTGTTGCAAATCATGGTATTTTTCAGTCTCCTCTTGTGCATGTGAAAGCTAGACAACGAATAAGGAAGACTGGAGAAGAGCTGATGCCTTTGAATATTGGTGTTGGCTAAGAATTTTGAATACACCATGGACCTCCAGAAGAACAAACAAATGTGTCTTAGAAGGAGTACAGCCAGAGTGCTCCTTAGAAGCCAGGAGGTGGAGAATTCGTCTTGCTTACTTTGGACATGTTATCAGGAGATACCAATCGCTGGAGAAGCACATCATGCTTGGTAGCGGGTCAGTCAATGACATGGACTGACACAGTGGCTTCAGTGGTGGGCTCAAACATGGCAACGATGGTGAGGATTGGGCAGTGGTCTGTCCCCGTACACAGGGGGCGTCAAAAAGCATTGCTCCCAAAATCACAGAGCCTGTATAAAACAAAAATATCAAAATGTGGAGTTTCTGCTTCTCACCATCTCCTTCGCCTAGATCTACACGCCTCTGAAGGTGGCGTTTCCATCTCTCTAACCCTCCCTGAAAGCGGCCTGGTAGCACTGCGGGTTACGTGCTGGGCTGCTAATGAAACAGTCAGTGGTTCAAGCCCACCAGCTGCTCCAAGGGGGAAAGCTGAGGCTGTCTACACCCATAAAGATATACCATCTCTGAAACCCTATATAGGGTTGCTGTGAGTCAGAACTGACTTGATGGCAGTAGATTTGGTTTTGGAACCCTTCCCCACTTCAAGAGCTCGGCAGTCTTGGATTTCAACCACATCAAAATGGCAGTTTGGGCGTCCTCAAGAGATCCAAATTCTG